CATGCCAATTGTTGCCTCTCCATTTCTCTCGAAGTGTCTTAGCTTCATTTATCCTGTTGAATGTTTTTTCGTTCAAAGGCACAATTGTAATACTTAGCATCTGAAGGGTAGTGGACGACACACTGTAATCTTTGAATAGTGGTTTCCATTTTATGAAACTGTGCCATATACCTGTGTGACAATTTAAAAAAAATAACACTGTCATACTACATACTTGTATGTATGCTCCATCATAACGCAAGCTTAGTTTGTAAACTGTTAAAAGGAAATACAGTGTACACCTTTATCCAAATGAGTAGTATTTATGGCTTTATCAACTTTGTCCAAAAAAGTAATATTTGATAGGTGAAACTATGGCAATGATCACAGACCACATGCAAAGTATGGGTCTGAGCTACATCCAAGACCACATGCACAGCATGGGTCTGTGCAAGGCAAAGGGGAAAGCTCACACATGCATAGGCCTAGCCTAGACCTATATATATAGGCAATCAGGCCTACAATGAGCAACTACATCCTGGCAATAACATACTGTTTTATATTAGTTTTATTTGTAAATGTTTCCTAAGGTTACATTTATCATAAATAAAACAAAATAAACATTTAACTCACCATAAGATGCATTGTTGTTGAGAAAAACAGTTTCTAAACTTCCACCCAATCACATATGCTCAAAATGCTGCCCTCTATGTCAACATTATGGAGAACCAAAGGGGTCATTCTAATTGATTTACAATATTTGAAGCACAAAAAGTATGTGAATTTTACATTTTAACTATCTGTTAAAACCTTACTTTGCATTTAATTGATGGCAAGATACATAATGTGTTATATATAAGGCTAATTATAAACTTTTGCTATAAAGGAATAAGACAACTTATCTGGTAATTTCAGAAAGTGCCCTCACTTCTGACCTTCTCAAAGCTTTCTCAACTAAATTTAGATGTGTTTCTTTTACAAAATCAAAACAAATCCATAATCTGGTCAAATTTATACATTAAAATGTATATTTCACCAACATATATACGGTTTTTTCAATTTTGGCGGCCATTTTGAAAAGCGCCCTCACGTGTTACCTCCTTTTATATGTTCGTTGAGAACTTTAGCTAGTCATAATTTACTCTCATCATTACATATACAAAATGTGCTCAAACATACCTCTTAAATGCTTATTTTACCCATGTATATGTATTATATTGGATTTTGGCGGCCATTTTAAAAAACGCGCTCTCGCGCAAAAGTTCTCAGGTTACAGGCCTTTTACCTCACATATTCTGATTCCCCATAAAAAACTGGTCTAGAAAAACCATATGAGAATTTCTACCTCTCCAAGTGGCACCTATCTCAATTATAGCCTGGTCTATTGTGTTTCAGCTAGAGGGCTGTATTACAAGTTACAATAGCGCACCGTCTTTAAATTGAGACGTTTAAGCCGTTGGTCCCGTGTGCATTTATGGCTCATGTGCACGTTAAAAAACGCAGTACACTCTTCGGAAAAGAGTAGGGATTGTCTCCCGGTATACTGTCCAATCACCACCAGAAGGACACCACTGGAAATAAGTCTTCTTCTAGACTTTCGTGGGCTATCCTTGGTGTTTACACCGAATAAATCCAATCCAATCCAAAGTCAACTTTATTGTCAAAAAATTAATTCTGAAATATTTTTTGTACTTAACATAACATAGAATCGTTTATAAATAATAAATAATATAATAATAATAAATATCAATTAAAAATTCTCTAGTGAATAAAAATAATGAAATTGCTTTCATTGTCCGTTATCAAACATCTGATAATATTGTAATACACAATCACAGACCCTATATGGCACAATTATAGGTCTGTAGAAATGTTAAACATTTCGGCGATATTTCACTCAAAATTGTACTTCTTATACAACATATATTTTAATTCCTTTTATATATGCATTTCTTTCTATTACATTTTATTACATTGATTTTTGTAAGTAAAGATATGCATTACGGTCTGAATTGATTCGTTATTTCAGGTAGTTGCAAATCCGGAAGACAGAACCTCAAAATCGTCAAAAGTTGGAACCAATATTGATGAAGATGTAGAAAGAGTACGACGGTTAGTTGCACGTTCGTGTTCCGATTACGTTTAAATTAAGAAAAAACAATCCAAATTTCATCTGGTCTTCTTGCTACTATTTTGGTCTATTTTAAAGAAATGTGCATTTCTTTTCACTTTATACTATCTGCCTTTCTCTCCCTCACTCACTCACCACTGAAGAAGGACTAGTTTTGTCCGGAAGCTCTGGTTATATTTCTGGCTTTTTTCTTACGTGTTTACTTTTGACAGTTGCTATATTATGCTTTTAATATATAACTTAATGTATAGACGATTGTGTGCTTTGAAGTAACAAAAGCATAATATTTACACTATTTTAGTTTAACTTTCAGTATTTTCTAACAATTAACTAAGTGACGCATTAAGTTTTTACATTGCCCTTTAAAGGTGCTGGTAAACAATATTAATATTTTGTTTATTAAATATTTCTTTATGATTGAAATTTGTTTTAGTTTGTGTATCATTGAAAATATGTTTAAGTCAAAGGAGTACATTAATGATTTCTGTAGTTTCACAATGATTCACCATTATGTTCTCTTTTCAGTTGTCACCTCAACGACCTAGAGAACATCGTGCCATTCCTGTTCTTGGGATTCCTATACGCGTTGAGCGAGCCAAGTGTATTTGCAGCATCAATGCATTACCGAATCTTCTTTGCGTCACGTGTCCTCCATAGCATTGCATACTTGGCTCCCCTCCCTCAGCCTTCCAGAGCATTCTGCTTCACAGTCGGATGGATCGTCAACGCGTCGATGGCCTGGAACGTTATCAAGCTTGGCATGTTTTAGATGTCTAACAAACCATTTCATTACTTGGTTTTAATTCGCGAAGAAAACGAAATCAATTAAAGTTACAGAATATAATTTTATCCAAGTACAGTAGGCCTAGTATTATCATTAGTAGCCTATAATAATTATAAAAGTAGGCCTATTGATAATAAAAATAATAATAAGCCTGGCCCTAATTTTATTTATTTATTTTTGTCTTTTGTGTGATTACACATTCAGTGTTGTAGCACTGTTATCACAAGTGGATCACAAGTAAAAAGAATAAAAGAGAAGCAAAATAAAAAAAAAAAAAAAAAAAAAAAAAAAAAAAAAAAAAAAAAAAAAAAAAAAAAAAAAAAAAATTGAACTTAAAACAAAACTAATGAGTTGAAGAAAATAAATATGTACATAAATATAAATACTGCATCGAAAACAAAATTGCTTAAAACTACAAAATTGAAAAGAAAAAGGCAAAAAGAAAATCTATAAAATTTTGATTCCAATATGTTGTCTATAACAGGGTAATCAAATTATATATCATTTAAGTGATTTTTAAAAGACTGTATGGAAAGTTCATTAAATATTGTTTTAATTTCATTTGGAAGGCTGTTCCATGCTTCAGTTGCACGACATAAAAACGTCCTTTTGCCTTGTACTCGATTTCAGTTTTGTTCAAGCGAGTTGTTATTAGACTTGTTTCTAGTACATTGGGGGTGATTATTGTTATTAAAGAAATAAATAAGACGCGGCCTTTTCTTTTAGACATTAGAAAGTCAATATTAGATGTTCATTCCATCCGTCGACCAATCTTTTCCATCCCAACTCATTCATGATTGTAAAAATTGGTGTATAAATGTCAACAGATAAAAAATTCTTCCTAGCGTATTTTGAAGAATTTGAAGTTCATTTAAGTGGTTACTGGTTGTGTTGGACCAAATGCAATTACAATAATCAAATAAAGGCATTACAGTTGCATTTAACAACATACTGTAGTTTTAAAAGAAAGGTATTGCGGTATAAGGGTGAACAATTTGAGGGTGGGGCAGTACCAAATCTACCTACCTATTTCTAAACGCCATTATATAGTGTAGTTTTATATAGCGCACATATCCATCTAATGTAAGATACTCAGGGCGCTTGATATGTGGACTAGGAACTCGATCAATGACTTTCTTCGCCCCTAAGGGTCCCTTCGTGTCTGTGCTACCCGGTAACCCGGTACAGCAACTCTCGTTGTCCACCACAGGGGTTGTCTGTTCCAGTACACCGGGGTATCCCCTTACTCGTCTCGAAGGATGTACTGGGTTCCTTATAGTGCACACGAGCCATTGTTTAAGCTGCTTTTGTCTCAATCACGGACGTTTTCTTGATCCATTTTCATTTCACAACAGGGCCGTCGGAACCGCACCGGCTTCGGCCGGACCACTTTTCCCAATCCTACAGGTCTCCATCCATATCACCAATTAAAAATCCCTTATGAGACCAGGGTTTTAGTGGTCTTTAGCAGGTTTAAGTCTCTAATTTGAATCCCTATAATTGAAGAACGGCTTTAAAAGTATTCTTTAAATATTTATTTATTTGTGTATTTATTACGGTATAAAATTGCACAACAAGCAGCCATAATAATAATAATAACATTAACAATAATAATAATAATAATAAAAACAATAATAATAACAACAACGATAATAATAACAACAATAATTACCATCATTATCACTCTTACCATCATCCCCACCACCATTACTACTACAATATTATAGAAATAAAGGAATAAAGCATCTCAACGGATAAAGGAAAAGGAAATCACAATTCAACAGTCGAAGGATTGCAGCCTACGCATCTAATTCATTGTTAATTAATTGCACTGATGTAGGGATGGGTGATTTTCGGAAACGTTCTGTTTTGGGCAAAGGTCTACTAAATTCAAGTTTATTTGTAGAACTGTTTCTGAGAACTCTAGATGTATTACGAATAGGAGGGAGCATTTTTCGATATTTGACTGATGTTAATAACTTCAGGGACGTATCCGGGGGGGGGGGAGCCGTGGGAGCCGCGGCTTCCCCCCCTTTGTACACAGTGTTAAAATTTTAAAGCTTATTCTTGAGCCAATACAAATTCTTTCCTGGGATCACTCAAAATGAATACTTCTAAACATGTAAATATCCATCAGTACACGTTATACATAGGCATAATAGAACATATAGCCCTAAGCGTGATTAAAAAAATCTTAAATCCATAAATCTCAGGTCAGGTCTTTTAAGATAGAAATGCGATACTGTGGTTCAATTTCGTTTTTATCCTTTTGCAAGTTTCTTTAAATGTTTGTTTAATAATACTACTACTAATAGTAATAATAATAATTACAATGATGATGATGACAATAGGAATAATTGATAATAATATTAATAACAATAAAAAGTTAAGAAAATTGTGCTAAATGCGAAAGACGTTGTGATTTGTTGATCATAATATAGTATATATAGTTAAAGCTTAGTAAGCTATAATTAGGCCTAAGTTGTCCTGGATATTAAGTAGATCCCTGATTAAAGATCATGAGAAATTTGTTGGCGTTTCATTTTGACTATAATGGTAATGTATTGATGATGAATTTTACTATATAAAAGTGTCATTTCCGGCCATCTCGAGAGGTACTATTTCCTCAAATTTTCTCACCTCAGCCCCAGCCATGGTGGGGCTGAGGACGTTGTGAAATCACGTTTTTGAAGTAGCCCTATGTTTAGTACATACTCAAAGACAATGTTTTTAAGCTTTTTTTTCTATGTTTTTTTCTATGGTATATCACACACACATTAATAAGATCTCTATGGTTGTCAAAAATCCCTGATAAAAGATCATGTTTGTTTAATAATACTACTACTAATAGTAATAATAATAATAACAGTGATGATGATGACGATAGTAATAAATGATAATAATATTAATAGCAATAAAAAGAGAAGAAAATCATGTTAAATGCGAAAAAAAAGTTATGATTTGTTGATCATACTATAGTATATATAGTTAAAGCTTAGTAAGCTATAATTAGGCCTAAGTTGTCCTGGATATTAAGTAGATCCCTGATTAAAGATCATGAGAAATTTGTTGGCGTTTCATTTTGTTTTTTTGGTTCTTCATTTTGACTAATGGTGATTTTACTAAAAGTGTCATTTCTGGCCATCTAGAGGTACTATTTCCTCAAATTTTCTCACCTCAGCCCCAGCCATGGTGGGGCTGAGGACGTTGTGAAATCACGTTTTTGAAGTAGGCCTATGTAAAGTACATACTCAAAGACAATGTTTTTAAGCTTTGTTTTCTATGGTGTACACACACACATTAATAAGATCTCTATGTTTGTCAAAAATCCCTGATGAAAGATCATGAGAATTTTTTTTGGCGCTTCATTTCGACTAATGGTGATGTGATGATGATGAATTTTATTAAAAGTGTCATCTCTAGCCATCTAGAGGTACTATTTCCTCAAATTTTCCCAGCCATGGTGGGGCTGAGTGCGGGTGTCGACTCACAAATTGCCCTCCCCTGCACCTTTCAAAACAGACCTGTGCCCTTCCCTGGGTATGATATTAAACTCCATCGAGTCGGCTCCTGATGTATGTCTTAGTGATTGCTGTTTGTTTTTAGAATGTGATCTGGTTTTTCATGTCCATTTTTCGTGATTATGATTATTCTGGATAAAGAATGTTTTGAGCAGATGTGGATTCAAGCCCCCCCCCCCTTCATTTTTTAAGAAAACTAAAGAAAGAAAAATATATTCAAATTGAAGTGCGAGAGTGTAATTTCCGGCCATCTAGAGATGCCTTAATCATAAATTTTCTTACCTCAGCCCCAACCATGGTGGGCCTGAGGTGGGTGATTCGTCGGTCTGTGAAAGTCCCTCCCTGGTTCACCTCTCTTTCGAATTCCTGGATCTGCCACTGTTGATTTATTATATAATTATTTTTGCGCTTATTTATAATGCGTCTATTGCGTCTATTTTCACTTTATCCTCTCAAACAGTCTTAAGAACGTTCAGATTGCGCTACTTCACAGGGGGATTCGCAAGGGTCATACGTAATTCGCATAACGGCTCCCCCCCCCCTTTCAAAATCCTGGCTACGTCCCTGAATAACTTTTTACCGAAAGTAAGTAGAATACTATCACGTCTAGCCTTAAGGGACTGGAGATTAAGGTAGCATAGAGCAAGATCATAAGTGATGTAATTTGGACCAGGATGATTCTAAAGGCCCTCTTTTGTACTCGTTCAATTTGATGACTTAGACGTTGAGTGATGGCTCCATGCCAAACCGGGCATGCATACTCTAGTAAGGGGCGTACATAGCTTAGATAAACACATGTTATATCATTTACGGGGGCTTTGGCTCTGCGCAATATACATAGCGTATATAGTCGTCGAGATGCCTTGCTAATAATGTCGCCGACATGCATATCCCATTTTAAGTTGTCTTGGATTGTAACACCTAATAATCTTATATGAGACACAACTTTGAGTACGGTAACATTAAGGGAAAATATAGGGGGATGAATTTATCTTAGCAGGAAATTAATTCTCATTATATTACACTTAGTTGGATTCGGAATCATATTGTTCAAATGACACCAGTCCGTTATATTATCGAGACTGGTTTGTAGAAATTCAGGACCTCCATATTTAACGATCTCACCAATTGTGAGGTCATCTACATATTTCCATCCCCTGCAGCTTCCTATAGATATATCATTGACAAGAATGAGGAATAATATGGGACCAAGTTTAGTACCCTGTGGGACGCCACATGTAATTTCTTTATAAGGGGATGTACATTGTTTAAACTTAGTGTTCATTTTGCGATTAGTAAGAAAGCTGCAGATGACGGGAATAAGAGATGACCTCACTCCTATACTAAGTAACTTCTCGACGACCACACTATGATCAACTCGATCAAAAGCTTTTGAGAAATCGATGGCACAAAGATTTACAAAAGTACCAGAAGATTCAAGCCCACTAACAACTGTGTTGATTAAATCAATAAGATACAGTAGTGTGATGTCGAGGAGCCTTTTTGGCAACCATATTGCTTCACATCTAAAAGACAATTAATGTCCTCTGTGACCCAAGAGACAATAAAGGATTCAAAAATTCTTGCAAATTGGTGTTAAGGATATGGGTCGCAAGTCTTGCAACGATGATATATTGTTAACTTTAGGGATTGGTATGGCTGTAGCCAATTTCCAAGCATCAGGGAAAACACCTTCCTTCAGGCAGGTATTAAACACAACCGCAAAGACAGGGGAGAGTTCA